CTCTTGTTGCCCAGCGCTGGAGTGCAATGGTGCCACTCTTGTCTCATTGCACCTCTGCTCCTAGGTTCAAGCAATTCCTCTTGCCTCGGCCTCCCAGGTAGCTGGGATTACAGGCATGCACCCACTATGCCTGGCTAATTTTTTTTTTTTTTTGTGAGACAGAGTCTTGCTCTGTCGCCCAGGCTAGAGTGCCACTACTACAAGCCCTGCCTCCTGGGTTCACCGCATTCTCCTGCTCAGCCTCGTGGGCACCGAGTTCACTCGCAGACACCTACACGGCGCCCGCCACCACACCCAGCTAATTTTTTTTTTGTATTTTTAGTAGAGACGGGGTTTCACCATGTTAGCCAGGGTGGTCTCGATCTCCTGATCTCAGGTGATCCGCCTGCCTTGGCCTCCCAAAGTGCTGGGATTATAGGCGTGAGCCACCCTGCCTAGCCAAGGGTGATTTTTAATGTATTTCTTGGTAGATGGCCCAGTTCTGTGGAACAGAAATTCCAGCATCTGATCCTCTACTCCTGACAGATGTGACCTTAAAAAGAACTTAGAGATTTTAAAGTCTCACTGAGGATATAAAAAAAGTCTTTAAGATGAAAGATTAATTCATAGAATATGAGTTCCATTGTTTGGTTCACCTTGGTGCCTGGGAAATAGTAAGTTCTCAACAAGTATTCACTGAATTTAAATCATTTTGTGGAAAATTCTGTTGCATCCGGTATGTGCTGGCCATTGTGCCAGCTGCAGACATATCCCTTTCAATAGGGGGCTGAGAGTCTAGTAGCGAAGACAGGAAAAAAGACAGTGACAGTGTGGCATGGTACGTGTCATGACTGAATAATAAACAGGAGATTTTTATGAGAGCAACAGTCTTTCTCCATATCAGAGACCATCAAATGGTGGTCTATAGCTGGATGCTACCTGCACATGTGTTTCATTTGATATTCTCTGGGTAGGCCAACCCCGAATTTAAGCATTTAAAAAAGTCTGTCATTAGCATTTACAAATAAGTACTGTTTTGTCACAGGATCTTTGGGGTGTTGCTTCACTGGCTGAAAACCTCTGTGGCTTGCAGCGCCTCTGCTTGGGTTTTACTTGAGTCCACTGGGCTTGTTCTGTCCACTTGGCCCAGCAGGCTGAGCTGGGCTCATGCTACCACCTGGATCCCCTACCTACCAAGGGTGAGCCAGGTGCAGAGTAGCAAGGGGTGTGTGAGTGAGTGAGTGTGGGGTCTGGCCACTGTGCACAGCCATACATGCTGGCTGCAGTGGGGTGGGCCTCTCCAGGCGCCAGCACAAGCGCCGACTCCAGCTCCATGTGAATCTGCAGCTGGACCAGATGTATCACAAGCAGCTTCTGCTGTGGGCACCAGTGTCTGGGCAAGGGGAATGCAATGGCGCCTGAAAGCTTGGAGACACCAGGAACTGCAGTACCCCAGAGAGGGTGTTACAGCATGTCACAGCCCTGGCTTGGGGAGCCCCAAGGTCTGAGCTCCCAGAACGGCCTCAGCTCTTCTCTCCTCATCACCTGCAGCGTGGTGAGCAGTGGGTGTGTTTCATCCCTGTTTGTGTTACACCCCTTTCAGTCCTGCCATTTGGTAGCTCCTGAGTTCTTTTCCTACGTCTGGGAAGAATGAGGTACGTGGACAACTAGAGGGTGAGTAAGGTGGAGAGGAGCTTCATTGAGCCACAGAACAGCTCTCAGGAGACCCGCAGTGGGTAGTTCCTTTCCGCAGGCAGGTCGTCCATCGAGTGTGTGAGTCTGACTGAGTCTGGGGGTTTTTATGTTCTCAGAATGGAGGAAATGCTGACTGGTCTATGGTTGGCCTGGAAAAAGCATCATGCAATTAGTCAAACCGTCATCAATGAAGTTCTCACTCTGGGCTGCAGACTGCCTGGAGCTGGCAGCCTGGCCCCCAGGCTTCAGGCCATCTCTGGCTTGAAGATGGGGCTTCACCAGGGACCCGCCACTTCCTGCCTGGGAACCTGTCTGCTTCCTGCTGCCATCAACATGATATCCCCAGTGCCCAGGCTGTTCGCCCTGAGGGGTGCCCGCAGGCTAATGCCAAGCCACCCTCAGCCCCTGGCCTCCCTCTGGTGCTGGTTGGCACCCAATGTCTGGAGGGAACTGAGGCAGCAGGGGGCTGGTGTGTCAGCACCACCCAGAGAGTGCACATGCCCAGCTGGGTTGGGATATTGCCTGGTCTCAGCCACAACTTTGCTCCACACTGCAGCACTGGAGTGGGCACCAGGAGCAGGGAGAGGCCAGGCAGCAGGAGCAGGCACTTTCAAACCTGTTGGCAGGTGAGGAAGGGGCTTCCTGGGCCCCAAGAGCTCAGGGATGCCCTAGTCTGGAGCCGAGGCTGGGCGGCTGCAGCTGTGCCTGAAAGTGTGGGGCTCCTGTCCCACTGGCTGGGGGTGGGGGGCAGGCTTCTGCCTGTTCTTGGCCCCTGCTGGATCCACAGAGCGCACAGCCCTGGCAGCACCTCCCCCGCTGCAGCTGGCATCCTCACAGCAGCCGCTTCTGATGGGCCACTGCTGCCATCAGTTTTCCTGTGGAAATCTTTTAAATTTAATCAATGGTTTATGTTATCAGTAAGGCTTCTGGTCAGCAGTTGGCTATTAGTACTTAAGTTTTGGGGGAGTCAAAAGTTATATTCAGATTTTTGGCTTCATGAGCTGTTGGCATTCCTAACCCCTGTGCTGTTCAACGTTCAACTGTACTGGATTTTCTTGAAAATTCTGAAGTGCTGGAAACACTGGGCCCAGATTTCTATGTGAAGCAATTTTGGGGCTGAGTGGCTTCATTTAGATGGGATATGTGCTCTCCATATTCTGCTCTCCCCTTAACACTGAGGTTCATGATAGTGAGGTAGTGCTGTTTCCATGTCGTAGAATTAACAGGAAGTTGAATTATTTCCCATTCTCATTTCAATCAAAACTGGAACAATGGAAGATACACTTAGGGCATCATGTTTTAAGCAAGAAAGGAAGAGGGCAAATTTCTTGTACATATAAAACACATTCCTAGGTGTTTAATGTGCAAACCAATTGTGTCTGTGCAAAGTGACATAATTTAAAACATCCTTCAGAAATAACCACATCAAGAACCATGGGCTACTCAAGTGAAAATAAAATTACTAAAATTTCAACAGGTTTTACATTTGAATAAAAATAAATTACAATGCTGTTAAATTCAGTAAGTGACAAAAATTGTCTGGGTATCACAGCTTTTAGGAGATAGTAAATGTATAAAAAAGGATTTTCTAGGTGCAGCAGAAAGTATGTATCTTGAATAGTCATAGAAACACAACCTCTCAGTGTTAAATGCTTGAGAACCATGGCCAACTTCATGGGCATGGGTCCATGCTTAAGATTTAATGGTCTGTGGTTGCTGTCTTAAAATTCTTAACAATTTTATCCTTGAATGAGTGATGTCTGATGGGACAACGGAGGATGCACCAGATTTGCAGCCTCAACATCCATGAGCAGTCCCTCTCTAGCATCTCTCTGCCTCTGTCCCTGGGAAGAGTTCTTGTCTGCCTGCTGCCCATCTCCTGGTACCCCAGGACTTGTCCAGCTCTCCCTCCCCATCCCCAGCCTGTGATTGCTGCCAATCTCTTCCCCTAGTAGGAACTAGGCATGGATGTGAGGAGGGTCAAGATTTAACACACATGTCCTGTGGCATTGCAGAGCAGGGTATCATGGCAGTTGTCTCCATGCTGGGCTGCCAGCGCCATGGTATTTTTGATGGGTGGCTTGGCAGGGTTGAGACTCTTATCTACCCCATCTTGCTACCTACTATGTCTTGGCTTAGGGATAGCAATACATTTGAGGGTTGCCTGTCTGCCATGAATTGGGTAGTAGGTAGTAAGAGAAGATGGCTGGCTCAACTTCCTCACCCCTGGTTGGGACATGGTGTGCTGGTCCAGCCACTTAAGGGTGGAGGATCCTAGAAGTTGTTGGAGCATGTGTCAGGGTATACATGGAATCACAGGGAGGGACTGGTGAGAGTCTGTTGTGATCATCTCCTCTTCCCTTATTGATAAGAGAGGGATTTCTACCCTAGGGTTATAGGGATGTCTGAAAACAATGACACTAGACATGTGAGATCAACAGTAGTTTGTTGGTTACATATGCTCACCACTCCAGTGGGGAGGAAATCGCATGCCATGCAGGTCCCCTCCCTGGGGATTGCACTTGGGAACAGACTGAACAAACAGGGGCTACGGAATGCAGGCTTTGCAGTGATGAGAGGGTGAGGTAATTGCTGGTCCCATGGAATGTGATTGGCTTGTTTGAGTAATTCTCTGGGCTGGCGGGAATTGAAACCTGCTACTCAAGGATACGCAGGCACTGTGCCTGGTCTCATAATCAAGATGGTTGGTTGGGTGACCTTATTTCCAGGAGCAGAGAGGGGAAGGGAACTTTTGGTTAGGTCACCTGGGGCCCTCCTACCTTCAGGTGTCAAGGCAGCTCATAGTATTGAACCTTAATTTTAGTCCTTACACCACAGAGTCTGCACTTACTTCATGAGTATCCCTGTGCTTGAGTAAGCACAATATTAAATAACAAAAAACACTTTGATGGGTGTGTTTGGGGAGTGACAGAGAGAGACAGAGAGAGAGTGGGGAGAAAGGAAACAAGCTCTGCCTCTTGTTCATCTGGCCCAAAGGAGGTGGAAGGCTCTACCTGTTTGGTGACTTTAGAAGGTGAACCTGCAGCCCAGCCCCTTTCTCTTTCAATGTCTTTATACTGAATGGCCAGAAGGAGCTCTTATTCTTCCTGGATCCTGCATTCCATAAGTCTTACAAGTAGTCCTCACCCCAATATGCTTTTAATGTCACTTTTTATCTGCTTTATGAACAAAGGACCTTGTATTTTCATTTTGCACTGAACTTCACAATTCCATAGCCAATCCTGCTGAGAATTTAGAAGACAAGTGTGTGCACTAGTTACCTGAGGTCAGTGTCACTTACTTTTGTTACTTACTTGATCCCACAGGTATTTGAGTTTGGGGCCATGTCATAGGATGCACCTTGAAATGAGCCACGAAATGTGCAGTCTAATGGTCTCTGTTGATCCATTTGCTGTCTGTGAAACTCCAGAAGTCAGGTAATTAACTATTTCTTCTGCAATACAGTGTCTTTATACTTAACAGTTATTCTAATTCTTTATATAACCATTAACATCTACATCTGAGTCATAAAGCATTGAAATGAACCCTTGGTTATTGTATTTTCAGCTAATAATTAATGCTATGCACCATGTGATCATAAACCTGCTCTCCTTTTTTTGCATTAATTGGTAACCTGGTCCAACCAGACTCTTAACACGATTGTCCCCGTGTGAGTTTAGTCATTATTTTGACTTCACTGATTATTGGCATTTATTACTTAAGAGCTAAGAAACAGCAACTAATTGAACATATTATGAAACATGTCTCCTTCTGCCTTTTCCAGGGTGGGAGAGCATGACTGCTTAATGGGCCACTGCTTATCCCCATTCAAATCCTGTGTGCATTGACTTTGTAGATTGCACCTCAGAAGACTTCTCATGTTTCGTTTCCCCACATTTTCTGTGGACAAATTTCCATCAACTACATATACTGCTTTGCAGAAACGAACATCTCAAAATCTGAGGAAGAGTAGATAATTTTAGGAAGGGTGACAGAATGGGGAAAGTGGTAAACAGTATCTGCAGAAGTAGAAAATGACTTGAATTTTAGAATTGGGTTATGGTGGCCAGGCGCGGTGGCTCAAACCTGTCATCCCAGCACTTTGAAAGGCTGAGGTGGGTGGATCGTTTGAGGTCAAGAGTTATAGACCAGCCATCTTGATCATGGGACCAGCCACAGTGCCTGCGTATCCTTGAGTAGCAGGTTTCAATTCCTGCTAGCTCAGAGACCAACATGGTGAAACCCCGTCTCTACTAAAAATACAAAAATTAGCTGAGTGTGGTGGCACATGCCTGTATTCCCAGCTACTTGAGAGGCTGAGGCAGGAGAATCACTTGAATCTGGGAGGTGGAGGTTGCAGTGAGCCGAGTTGGCACCACTGTACTCCAGCCTGGGTGACAGAGGGAGACTCTGTTTTCCCACACCCCAAAACAAGAGTTTTATGGCATTTAGAAGTCCATTTTGAATGATGTGGTAGAGTGGAAACCAGATTACAAGCAGGTGAGAAGTGAAAAGATGATGAAAAAAAGAGAAAATAGTAATAATAGATTACTGGCTTCAGTAAATTGACAGTGAAAGAAAGGGTGAGAATGTGGTTTAGGAGATGAGGCAACATGATCATCTGAAGTTTTCTGTGTCCAATTTTTAAGACAGAGGAAATTGTGCATATTTGAAGGCAGTGGAAGAGTTGGCAGAAAGAAGGAACTTGAAAGCTGAGATAAGAAGTTAGTATTGGAAAGATGGAGCCAATACCTCCACATCTGTGAAAAAAGAAAAGAAAAAAAATTATCCAAAGCTGAGTATTGAGTCAGCAGACAGGGGAAAATATAGGGGCTGTGGGTTTTACCAGGTAGTTGGTGGTGTCAGGGCATGCAGTTAAATATTATCAAAAAGGAACTGACAGTCTAAAAGAATCAGGAGCAATAGGAGGTTCAGGAGGGCATGGAATATTTTGCTTAAATGTGGAGGTGTGAGAGAGGCTGAACGTGAATAACATACCCCATCTTCCTTCCTTCCTAAGAGAAACCCAATTTTCTTCAGGTATCCACTCCTACGTCCTGTGACTGAAACAAGATGAGTCCTTCCCTAGCTGGAAGGTATGGTCTGATTAGTCTCAGAGCTACTCAAAGGACTGATCCGTGATAAGATCAGGGGTTACACCAGAATGGGATTCAACGCACTACCTTTTTCATTGAAAAAGTCTACCTAGGTCAAAAATATCAGCCGATGGGAGGCCGAGGCAGGAGGATTGCTTGAGCCCAGGAGTTTGAGACCAGTTTGGGCAACATAGTGAGGCTCTGTCTCTAAAAAAAAAAAAAAGAAATTAGCCAGACATGGTGTTATACAATCATGGTCCCAGCTACTAGGGAGGCTGAGGAGAGAGGATCACTTGAACTCAGGAGTTCGAGGCTGCAGTGAACCATGTTTGTGCCACTGCACTCCAGCCTGGGTGACAGAGCGAGACCCTGTCTCAAATATATATACGTATGTATGTGTATATATATACCCTAGCTGAATATGGTCAGCTAGTTCTCCTGGCACTATTTATTAAATAGGGAATCCCTTCACCGTTGCTTGTTTTTGTCAGGTTTGTTGAAGATCAGATGCCTATAAGTGTGTGGTCTTATTTCTGAGTTCTCTGTTCTGTTCCATTGGTCTATGTGTCTGTTCTTGTACCAGTACAAGAACTTGTTACTGTAGTCTTGTAGTATAGCTTGAAGTCAGGTAGCATGATGCCTCTGGCTTTGTTCTTTTTGCTTAGAACCGACTTGGCTATTTGGCCTCTGTTTTGGTTTTATATGAATTTTAAAGTAGTTTTTTTTCTTCTAATTCTGTGGAGAATATCGATGGTAGTTTAATGGTAATAGCATCGAATCTATAAATTACTTTGGGCAGTGTGACCGTTTTCACGACATTGATTCTTTCCATCCATGAGCATGGAATGTTTCTCCATTTGTTTGTATTCTCTCTGCTTTCTCTGAGCAGTGGTTTGTAGCCTTCCTTGAAGAGGTCCTTCACTTCCCTTGTTAGCTGTATTCCTAGGTATTTTATTCTTCTTGTAGCATTTGTGAATGGGAGTTCAGTCATGATTTGGCTCTCTGCTTGCCTGTTGTTGGTGTATAGGAATGCTAGCGATTTTTGCACATTGATTTTATATTCTGAGATTTTGCTGAAGTTGCTTATCAACTTAAGCTTTTGGGCTGAGACAATGGGGTTTTGTAGATATAGGATCATGCCATCTGCACACAGGGATAATTTTTGACTTTCTCTCTTTCTATTTGAATACGCTTTATTTCTTCCTCTTGCCTGATTGCCTTGGCAAGGACTTCCAAAACTACGTTGAATAGGATGGTGAGAGAAGATATCCTTGTCTTGTGCAGAAACTTTCAATGTAATGTTTGGTCTATGTGTCCTCAGTAAAGGTATTGATTTACGACAATCACATAGAATTGGTTAAGAAGAGTACGAGAACTATTTAAATATTTTTTTAATAGAAGGGAAGCACACATATGTTTAAAAGAAAAACCTTAGAGGAGTTAACAGTTTTTAAAAAGTCTTAAACTTTTGAAGATATAATCCAGAACATTTACAGACATTGATTTCCTTAGTTCCATTCTTTCTCCCAAAATGAGTTTAATTTTTCTTCATCCATCAAAAATGCCAGTATTCTATTCAAGGCAAGGGAAGAACCGTTTATATTATCCCTGGAAGGAACCTGTTATTTGAGATCATTCAAAAATAAAAGTAGAAATAGGTTTTTATTTGCTTTTGTTGTTTTTTGTTTTGGAGATGGAGTCTCGCTCTGTCACCCAGGCTGGAGTGCAATGGCACATCTTGCCGCACTGCAACCTCTGCCTCCCAGGTTCAAGCAATTCCTCTGCCTCAGCCTCCCAAGTAGCTGGGATTACAGGTACCTGCCACCACGCTCGGCTAATTTTTGTATTTTTAGTACAGACGGGGTTTCACCATGTTGGCCAGGCTGGTCTCAATCTCCTGACCTCAGATGATCTGCCTGCTTCAGCCTCCCAAAGTGCTGAGATTACAGGTATAAGCCACTGCCCCCACCCTTGAAATAGGGGTTTTAAAGAAATAACTTGGCTGGGCATGGTGGGTCACGCCTGTAATCCCAGCACTTTGGGAGGCCGAGGCGGATGGATCACGAGGTCAGGAGTTCACGACCAACCTGGCTAAGATGGTGAAATCCCGTCTCTAGTAAAAATACAAAAACATTAGCTGGACGTGGTGGCAGGCGCCTGTAATCCTAGCTACTCAGGAGGCTGAGGCAGGAGAATCACTTGAAAACAGGTGGCAGAGGTTGCAGTGAGCCAAGACTGTGCCACTGCACTCCAGCCTAGGCGACAAACTGAGACTCTGTCTCAAACAAAACAAAACAAAACAAAACAACAAAACAACAACAACAGCAAAAAACAAAAGAAATACCTCAGGTTAACCTCAGACTGGGTGGGACCTGGGTGCTTTGCCATGATGGCTAATGAGTGAGAGATGATTGGTATTAAAATAATAGTAATTCCACATTGGGGAATTCCTCGACAGTCTTGCCTCAGCAGGCTGCAGTCTTGGTGTCAATTCCTCTTTCATCTGTCAACATATGGACTCGCTAAAACTGTCCCTAAGGCAGTGTGGTAAAACATGGCTTGGGCCATTCTACCAAGTAGAATCTCCTCTCATGAGATTTTTTATGACTTAGAAAGGTAATAAAAGTATGAGATATTCTCTTTAAATCTAGTACTATGTGAGGACAATACATATGCATACTTACCTTATTTAATTTTTTTATTACAGAAAATTTCAATTATATGCCATGAATGTTCATGGACAAGGTGAATACCTGTTTTCATTTATTTTGGGTATACACTTAGGAGTGGAATTGTTGGTCCTCCTCCAACCCCTGCCAGGTATCTATCACCAAGCTTCATCACTGATCTACTCCTGGACAATCTTGTTTCGTCTACACCTTACCCACCCACTCCCTTCATCACCCCATCGGGGTTATTTTACAGAAAATCTCAGACTTCATATAATTTCATCTGTAAATATCTCATTATATATCTACAAAAGAAGAAGGCTTTAAGATCACACAACTACACTACCATCATGATGTTAACAAAACTAACAGCAGTTCCTTAGTGTCACCAGTGTTAGCATTCACATGGTCTCTTGTCTCTTTGATTTATTACAATGTGCTTTTTAATAGTAAAGATATAAACAATGTTTACACAACACAGTATATCTTAATAGTACTTAATATGTTTAAGTATCTTTTAATCTAGAGATAACGCCTCCACTTTTTACATTTTTTACTTTTTCAGCTTTATTGAGATATGACTAATTTTGAATTTTATTATTACATACAATAAACTACACGTATATTTTGACATATGTATATACCTGTGAAACCATCATCACAGCCAAGATA